GCTAGCTGGAGAGGGTGTGTGCGGGCGGGGAGGTCTAAAGTTGGTTCAGGGCTGTGGGCTGAGCCGCACTCTGGAAGCTGAGGAAGGATTGTGGGCCAACTGTGCCGGCACACTGTGGGAGCTTAATGCGTGGTTCTGGACAGCCCGAGTTTGCCTTTGGCCGTCCCTCCCCCGCTCCCTTCGCGGCGCTCGTCTTCCTCTCCATGCTGCTCCTCACCATTATCCCGAGTGGGCTTTCCATTCAGCAGTCCCATCTCCCACACCCACTCCGCCTCGGACCCCCCACTGCCAACACAGGTGCCCATACCTGGAGAGACCCCGGGATATAACAGAAGCAGCCTGGGTTCAAATCCTGGCTCAACTACTTAGCACCAGTGTGACCTCGAGGCTGTCGCTTGACCTCTGTCTTCATGTCTAAAATGTCACGGACTACATTATCTCTAAAGTCACCTCCAGCTCTTCATCTGTTATCCTTAGACCGCATCATTCTGGACAAGGCCCTAGATATGTTGTGAGACAGCAAGACCGGACTTGGGGTCAGGAAAACTAGAGTTCAGATTCCGAAAGATGGAATAGTTGTGTGGCCTTGGGCAAATCTCTATTATGTTTCCAAAAAACCATCCTGGGACTGAATCAAAGGCGGGTTACAATCTGCTTTGGGTGAATGATTCTAGCTAACTTAGATGCATCGTTTACTTAGTTGATGTCAAAGCCATCTGACAGATGACTTACTTCACTCATACCACAACCAACATTAGTTTTCACTGGGACTATTTCAATGGCCTAACTTGTCTTCTTGTCTTTGGATTCTCCAATCTAGTTTTCACAGAGCTGTAAAAATAACATAGTACTAATATGACCCCATTTGTCTGCTCAGAATCCTTCAGTGGTTCGAATTCTTTATTATTGTACTTAAGGTCTTTCACAATTGGGACTCTAATCTAGCAGTTTAGCATTGTTACCATATATGGGACCTTTTTATACATTCCATTCTTCAGACAAAATTGATCATAAACTATTCCCCTGATTTCATCCCGATACTTACCAAATGATACCTGTTTGAACAGCAATCTCATGTGAATCTACCTTTGCTTATTCAAATCCTTCTCTTCTAATCAAGTCCCAGCTCTGGTGTAAACTTCTTAAATTCCTTCTTAGACCTCTCTTCTAGACCTAGTTTCACTGCATAACACAAAGTTTTTACTCCCTCCCCAAATTCTCTTAGAGCTCTCACTATCTGCCTTTTCCTATATCAAATTCTACCAATTATATTTGTGAGAATCAGTTACAGTGGATTGAGGTTAGGCCTTCAAGTCAGGACGACTCAGATTCCAATTCTGCCTCTGATACAAATAATGATGGGCAAATCACCAAACCTTTCAAGATCCCCTCTACAACTCATTCTAAGTTACCAGTAACTTATCAGTCTTCAGCAATGGAGCTTGTTTCTATACTGGGAGTTCCTCTTATAAATAAAGTCACAGGTTCAGACACCCTCCCCTCAAGAAAAACAAAACAAAACAAAAATGTATGTGTCCCTTATTAGTTTGTCCTTTATTGTAGAAGTATTCTTAGTGTCAAAGATTTGGATTGAACAAGTGGAAAAGTTAGCAGAGTAGTAACTAACAAGATGCAAAGCAAATACAGTATTATATTTGTAGGCATTGAGGAGTAGAGGTGGCCAATAGTAGGAAGAGTGGCTTGGCTAAAATGGAAAACATGGCAGATAGGAGGTTGGAGGTCAAGTTGGATGTTACCTGAAAACAGCCAGTTAACAAAAAGCCTCAAATGCTAAACTGAGGAATTACAATGATTTGCTATTGCTTCTTCTTAAATCTTTTTCAAATAAGTATTTTTATAGTTAATCAGTCCCTCCTAACACAATACCTCCAAATACTCAATATATAACTAAATAGTAAATCCCATATTAGCTATGTATAGCAATCATTTCCTTTCTGTTACTCAGAGGCATTTAATTTTTATTCTTTTTTTGAGACAAACAGGGTTAGGTGACTTACTCATGGTTAAGGCCTAATTTGAACTCAGATCCTCCTGACTCTAGGATTGGTGCTCTATCCGCTGCCTCTCATTTATTTATACTTGTCATTTATCATTTCATTGATTAGAATGCTAAGGTCTTTCAAAGTTGTTTTTCTCCATGTTATCATCGTATAAACTATTTGATTCTGTTCACTACGCTCTGCATCCATTTATTTAGCCTTTTCAGTTTACTCTGAAATTGTCCATCTCATTGTTACAGCTTTCAATTACAATCATATACAACTTATTTTGATCATTCACCAAGAGGACACCCCTTTTTGTTTCCAACTTTTCACTACCACAAAAAGAGATGCTTCATTTTTGCACATATAGCTCCTTTTCTTCTGATATCTTTGGCGTATGGGACTAGCAGTGATTTAGCTGGGTCAAAGGGGATTTAACTCTAGGCATAGTTTTGCAAAGTATTCCCAAAATAGCTGGAGCAATTCATAGTTCCATCAAGAGTACATTACTGTAGGGGCAGCTAGGTGATGTAGTGGATAGAGTACTGGCCCTGGATTCAGGAGGACCTGAGTTCAAATGTGGCCTCAGACACATAAGTTACTAGCTATGTGACCCCAGGCAAGTCACTTACCCCATTGCCTGCCCAAAAAAAACCCCTTAAGAGTACATTAGTGTATCATTTTCCCAACATTGTTATTTTCCTTTTGTCTTCTTTGCCAGTCAGAATGTGAGGCAGAACTTCAAAGTTGCTTTAATTTGCATTTCTCTAATGATTTAATGAATTTTTTTCTTTATGAATGACAGTTTGGATTTCTTCCTTTGCATATTGCTTGTTTGTATCCTTTGACCATATATGTATTGGGGAATGGCTTAGTCCTGTAAATTTGAAGCAGTTCTTTATATATATCTTAAAAATGATAGCTTTATTGAAGAAATACATTGCAAAGATCCCACTTACCTACTCCCCTTCTAATTTTTGTTAGATTTATGCAAAAACTTTTAAATTTTATATAATCAAAATTGTCCACTTTTATCATGTTCCTATCACTTGTTTTAGTCATCAACTATTTCCCTACCCACAGATCTGAAAGGTAATTTCCCCATTGCTCCTCTAATTTCTAATATGATGTCTTATATCTGTCATATATCCATTTGGAGCTAATCTTGGTATATGTCTGATTGTCTCTTGAATTAAATAGAATGTTCTTAAGCTGGAGAATGATGAAAACAGATTAGAAAGACTGACTTGGCACTCTATTGCTGTGCTGATTTTAAAGTAAGTGTCCAAATGATGAATTTTACAAGAACACAGTTATTTGTGCTCCAGACACTTGGTCAGGCACATATCACTCATTTGGAAGTGAAGTCCTTTTCTCAGTTGCTTTTTTCTAGTACTTAACTCCAAAACCTGTCATTGAGTTTCATTACTGGTCCAATGGAAGGCAACAGTAAAACATACACGTCACTTGAAGGTGAAAAAACTTTACAAAAGTATTTATTAAAACATAATTATATTGAATAGTAAAAATAATTTCTTCAGACTTTAGTCATGAAATACTTGAGGAAACTGACATTCAGACTTGGTTAGCGCTGCAAAGTAATTTTCATATTTATTAAATATACTTTCGAATTTAGAAATATATCCCCACTGGATTACACCAATATTACATGTACTTTCAATTCTCTTACATTCAATGCCTTTTATGGTATTCATTTCATATTTCTGACTTCCAGTCACATTTTGACTAATTTGGAAATGTGAGGCACTTCACACTGGAAATGGAAATATCTACTTTACCTTTTCAGGAAGACAAACTTATTAAAAACTAAAAGGTAACCTGCTAAAATTTTACTAAAAATTGACTCCTTTCAAAAAAATAAGATTCCCTAATTTTGGAAATCAACCGAATTAAAGCCAAAAATTGGCTCTGCCCAAGGCCCAGCCAAGGCACATTTCAGAAGAGACAGGCAAATCACAAGAAAAAGAAACTTATAAACTTTCAGGGAACATCCTGTGGCCTGTATGAATCTGACTGAAACTTCTACTAAACACTTAACATCTACAGAACTGTTTCAGTGACCATTTAGTTTCACAATAATGACATCGAGGTATTCTGAATGATCTTTAGACACCTCTTCAATCAGGAACACTGTACTTAATTGAGATTTAACTTAAACATTGAAAATTAAACATTTAGTATACTAAACATCTTAAGAGATTTGAGACCTTTTCCAGAATTTGAATCTACATGACTAAGTTTTTTGAGTCTATTTATATTTCATAACTACAATTTAGTGCAAATATATTACTGTGAATATTTTGAAAATGTAGGACATAATTCCTTAATTTCCAGGTAACTCAGAAAAATTAAAAATAACTAGGTAGAAGTCTTTTTCCTTCAGTAATAAAGCCCAACTATGACAAATATACTAGGGTACTAGAAAAATATAATTGATTTCTGCTTTATAAACTTAATGAAAAATGTTATGTAGTAACACCACTTACAATTTAGTATTTACATGATCTGGTATAGATAAGAAGAATTTTTCAGAATACATTAAAAAAATAATTGAAATAGATTTCACTTAAAAGCATAATGTTTTTCTATAACTTGTATTGCTCCCTCTGCTGGGGAGATGAAATAGATCAGTCAGTTTTCTTCCTAATTCTTACACATTAAGAAAATATTGGGACTCAATATTGAGGAACCAAAAAAATTTTGTTCATTCTCTCATATTTAGTTTATGCCCAAATGCATACTTTTGCTAATGATGAACGATGAACAATGTCTGTTCCCAAATCTTCCCCAGTCAAGAGAGCAGATGAGAGCTTAGGTATTCAGTATGCATATTTCATAATCACAGTATCCCTTCTGTGGCTTTGAGACGGTAGTGTCCCCTTGGTCCCAAGTACAAATTTTTACAAGTTTCCAGTCAACAATTTCTAGTTATAAATTTTAATAGTAGCAGGTTTGGTAAGAGTAAAGTGAAGAGGGGAAAGGGAAATATTAAGCTTAGTAATATCCAACACAAAAATTCTTTGGATGTAATCTATGTTCTTGGCAAGTACTAAATTTCTCTATCAACAAACTCCTACAGAGAATGGGTATCTAATGTAGTTTCTCTGTAATTACCAGAACTACAGTTCTGCTCACATGAGAGATAAATGTATGTTGTCCATGGTTCCTCAAGAGTCAGGTTATAAAAACTTCTTTCATCCATCACTACAGTAAAGATAACGTGAACAGATTGGAAAGAGGTGTGTAATTGGAGAGGAAATGTATAGGTGAGGAGAATTTATTACTGCTTTAAAGTCAAAGAGATCCTAAGATGCCAACATGCTGTTTAAATAGATAGGACGCAGTACAGGAGAGCAGCTCCACTCTACCCCTGCGTAGACTATTATCTCAACTGATCCTAACATTTAGATTATGGTCAGTTCTTAAGAATTTAAGTTTAAGTATTCTTTAGGCCCTAGAAATCATTTCATTATTTTAAAGCTATCTTAAAAACTTGAATTATAATAGCAAAAATCTTACTATATTACTGATTTATAGTGAGTTAACAATCCAAAATAAACTGCAAACGTCTAAGAACTGAACTTATAAATGGAATATTTCAGAGTACTCAAATACATTGTGACTTTGGATTCTCAGTTGTCTGTAAAACAAACACCTTTAAGGATAATCTTTGACCTGAAAGAATTTATATTATTTTCCCCCAAAGAACAGTATTGACTTTTGGGGGGGGGCAGGGAGGAAGAAGAAGATATCAGGGCTACACTGGTATCATTAATCAAAATTTGATCTAAGAATGATTTATAGCTGATAGGTAGGCTTTGTTTATTTTGGCAGGGAAACAAAACAGACCCTAAGGAATAGTACATAAAGCTGATAGAAAACATTTTAAAGACCATTTGAGGAGAAAATATTATTATTTAAGGAATTTTAAAGACAACTGTTCTGTAAATTAACCATTTAAAAGATAATTCCAATTTTTCTCTTGTAATAAAATGTCTCAAGTAATCATGAGTAACATGTGGACAAAATAATTCAATCTTCAGAACTGTTCTTATAAAAAACATTGTAGTAGGTCAAGTTTGTAGCTGACAACTCACAATTATTTTCTAGAAGTATACGTATCACAAACACTTGAAAATAAATTAGGTTTGGTATACTGCTCTAAAAATGGAAAAGAGTATTTGGGTTCTTAAAGAAATCTAACTTTAAAAAACCCTGTAGTATCCTTGAGACTATTATACTGTTAACAAATACTGTTAGTGACTTCTCCATCACGGCCTCAGAACCTCATCCTCCTGTGAGGCTGCAGCAGCCCCATTAATCCCACCACTTCATTACCCTCTGCCTGTGGGGCCTCTCTGATTGAGGCAGGTGCCCAGACCCATCACCTTTTCATTTCCCACCAGGCTGCATTCTGTTAGGTCTCTATCATGCCCCAAAGCTGGTATAGCCCTTTCCCATCTTTTCCCTACTCCTTTTTAGCTTCTTTTTGGGTGGTATCTTACTCCATTAGATTGTAAGCTCTGTGAGGGTAGGGACTATTTTACCTTTTCACATGTGCACCCTCCAATGCTTAGCATAGTACCTGGGCATATATTGGGTATTTAACGTTTACTGACTAACCAAATAGCACTTCTGCCACTTGTTTACTGTAAACTCAACATGGTTAAGAAAAGTCTTACAGGTGGAACTGATAATAAACAATAACAAATTTAATTACACGAGATAAATTGTGACATAAATGAGTAATGGAGATGACATTCAATTACGATAAACGACAAGACCACAGGACAAGACTGTCAGCAAATGCCCCACTTATTTCAAGCAATGTTCAATAAAACTGAATTTCTATAAGAAAAAAAATTGTTCTAAGATTTTATCTACACTCCAGACAACAACCTGGAGAGGCTGAAAGCATGAAAACTAAAAACATAAAATGCCTCCATGAAATATTAATGATCGGTATGTTACAAAATAGTTTTTTCTTAGAAATAATAAAAAATCTAAGAACATGTGAGTGTCTTGAGGAAGGCATTAAAGTCACTGCTGATGAGCACATCTGATCAAATTGAGATACTGGCACATTAGGTTGGATCAGAAGGTAGAGGCATCATATACATCATGTCCTTTCACATGCTGCCCTTTGGACAAGACCCATGTTGGTGCTGGTTAGCAGGAGCTTCAGCAGCCTGCAACACATTCAGCTATGGAAGAGCCAACTTCTAAACTCTGAAAAGTCTACTGAGAGAAGTCTTAAAAGTTGGTGAGAACTACTAGGTAGGGCCTGACCACTTACAGCACACATCCTAAGAGAAACACTGGCTTAGTACAGCAAATCCAACCCAACTGGCCACATGATGAAGACACTGTTCCCAGCGGCAAAGATTCCATTGAAATAATATTAAAAACAAAAACAGCAAACTGAAACTCTTACAATGAAAAAGGAAGAAAAGTAAACAATAGTATACATAATCAAAATGTGCTTCATATTTAATTCTCTAAAAATGCATTAATACTCCATTTACATAGCATGATAAAACTATATTAAAAACGCTACAGTAGGTTGTTAGTAAGCATTTACAGTGACTGTTTCCTTAAAGTTTTATAAGCCCTTTTAAATATTTCTGAAGTAAAGAAGTGGTAAGCTGTCACTGTTGGCAAAAAGAGCGTGATCTTAAGGGAAGAAACATATCAGTCGAGTTGCCTTCTTCTTCTGACTGTGGTTCTAGTGGAAGAGGAGGTGCCCCAGGGTCGCCAGGTCCGGGAAGGGGAGTTGAAAAGATGCTATTTTCGGTTCTGCCTACCTCTACCACAGGTAAATTCAATGAAGTACTGTTGGAATAGAAGGAGGCTGTGCTGGACTCTCCTGTGGGATGGTAAACGACAGTGGCATCTCCGTCTTTCAATTTGTCAGAGAAATTGCACTCATTAGAATCTAATCTAGACAGACTATTTGTTGCTCCAGGTGGATGAGGCATATAGCTACAGTGCAATCCTAAAATAAAACCATAGAAGATGATTAATAAACTGATTAGTAAAACTTCTAATCAGTGAGTCCATTCAACAAATATTTATTGGGTTTTCTTGTTTGTTTGTTTTTGCTAGGCAATGGGGTTAAGTGACTTGCCCAGGGTCACACAGCTAGTAAGCGTCAAGTGTATGATCTGAGATCAGATTTGAACTCGGGTCCTCCTGACTGCAGGGCCAGTGCTCTATCCACTGTGCCACCTAGCTGCCCCATAACAAATAACTGTTATTAACTGTTATTAAATTGCTAGTTACTGTAACATTTTAGAGGTCCAATATTGTAGGAAAAAAGCCCAACATCCAGGATTCCTCTGAAAATTGAATTAATTATTACTGCTTAAAGAAATCTGGTCAGTAACGAAAATAAACTAATTGCAAACTTCTTCATAAAAGTAGTAGTTTTCAGAGCTACTGGATAGTTACTAGAGTTCTAGCACAAAAGCACAAGTGCCCAAATAATAGAAAAAGGCAAACAGAATACATGCTTAATAAAATTCATTTCAAACAGTGTTTAGCAAGAATAAAATTTATGAAATGACTGACGTCCATTTGTGATGAGCAAATTAGTAGAGTCTTTTTTGGAAGACACTATTTAATCTTGTGCTTATTTAACTAATAGCCTTAGAGCTCTAGGGAAGTGGAAAAGGAAAATTCTTGTTGTAGTCAAAAGGATGAAACAATTAACCTGGCTCAGCAAATATCCAATGTTGATCAAGACAGCCCACAGTAGAATCTATTGATTTGCAGGTTGATAAACTCTGATCCAGGCTGCTCTTTCCTGTGAGTTTTTCCAATCTCAAAACTCAGACACAACAAAGATGGCTTAGTTGCAGTAGTTCATGAACTGTTTTTTCTTAAAAAATTTTATAATTGAATTTTTATATATATATATATGTGTGTGTGTGTGTATACATATGTATGTTATATATGTATGCATATAGCTGGTTCCCTTTGTTATCCTCTATTTTCTTTAATGCATTTAAAAACAGTATTATGTGAAGCATTCCACAGGCTTCAGACATGAGACACAAAAAAGGCTAAGAATCCCTGTGGAAAGAGGGCCTGTCCGGTGCCAGGAAGATCTGATGAATCTTGGGCAAGGCTCTTCAGCTCTCACTTGCCCCAGGGAAACTCAAAGGTTCTAAGTTTTAAAGGTCAAGCTACATTGGCACAGGGAGTCTGTTCATTTGGGAGCTCTCTACACCAACAAAAAAAGTGCAGGTCTAGTCCCTATCCAGCAAAACATTCTGTTGACCCACTAAACAAACTAGTATCCCACTGAGCTGTATTACAGTGGAACTGCAGATCTAAAGTAGAGTCCTCAGAAGTCCTGTTCCTTACACTTAACCCTGTGCCTTTGGGAAGTCCCTCACCAAATCTGATTCTGTTTTTTCATTTGTAAAGTAGGCCTAATAATACATGTTTCACCTCACATTTTCCATCAATCTGGGAGGAAGTGCTGTGTAACTAAATCCATGCATATCAGCTGTGATTAAACAGAAATCTTCCAATAACTTTCCATTTTTTCAACCTAATAAAATACTCTAAAGCCGAAAAGGCAATCCTAGTGGAATTCTTGGGTTAAAAACTAAGGAGAAAAAAATCAACTCTATTGAGTGAATTGCTTTACTTTTCCCTTTTTCTGTTTAACTCGTTCCCTCGTACATGCATGCCACCTTACCTTTCAGGTACTCTAGTTTGACAATCTTCAGCTTTTGCACTTCATCTATGATCTTCCCTATCAGGAAGCTCTGTGTTTTCTCTCGTCGAATAGATTCAACCAGAGTGTCAAGTCCCTTAGGGTTTTCCTGTAAGTAGTCCAACAGCTTACCAGCTCTTTTTTTACTCGATGTTCTGCAAGAAATTTCTTCAGTGTCCTCTCTAGTGAGTATTTTCTTTGCACGTAGGTGATCAAAATGTCTCTCAGCTATGATTTTTTCACATAAATATACCCTCAGATTTTCTAAAGCCTAAAAGATATAAAACATATTTTAAGGTTAGCTTAAATAGAAAACATTTTATGGTTAAGCACCTGACTATGTGTCAGGCACTGTGCTAAGCAATGGGGATATAAAACTAAGCAAATGAGCCCCTGCTCTCAAGGAGCTTACAGTCTAACGGGGGAGACGATATGCAAACAACTATGTACATACAGGATATCTATCTATCTACCTGTCTATAGATACAGGAAATAGTTGACAATCTCAGAAGGAAGGGCACTGGGGTTGGGTGTGGGAAGGGAGAAAGAAGAGACCACAAACTGTAGACCAGGAATATAAATTACACAGACAGAAGACAGAACCAATCCTAGCAACTAAAACTAGTTTGCCTGACTAAGTCTCGGTAGGAAATCTCCTAAAAATGTTGTCTTACTTCAATGACTGATGCTTATGGTTACTCTAAAATATTTGAGATCTTGAAGGGTTTTCTGAATTCAGGAAAAACCACTGTTCTATTAACTTCATCTTTCCATTCTCTAATCATGGAGGCTAACAGAAAAATGACCAAACTACTCTGCACACCAATGTAATGAGCTGGAAAAAAATCCACTTTAGTTAAAAAATACATAGTGCCACTACACAATTAGCTGTTTGGCTTTTAGGTAGAATGAAAACTCCTGTTTTCTCAGTTTCTTCATCTGTAAAATGGAAAAGAGAAGTCTAAGGTTCCTTCCATCTCTGAGGTGCTATGTTCTTACGTGCAAGGCAGTGGCTAAGACTGGGCAGTGGGGGTGCGAGACTGTACAAAAATGAATAAGACAAAATCCTTGCTATCCTAGGCTTACAATCTAGCTGGAGAAATAAATAATACAATGCAAAGTATAATGCAAAAGTACAAAAAGAGAACCACTACCCAATAGGATAAATGGCCAAGGCATGTGGATAAACAATTCTCCAAAGAACTGAAATGATGAAAGATTATTACAAGTCATGAGTAAGAGAAATGAAAATAAAAACTGTGGTTTTCCCTCACACCCAGTAAATTGGCAAAGATGACAAAAGATGGGAAAAATCAATGTTGGAAGAATTCTGACATAGCCTGTTGATGGCTATGGGTTGATTCAACCATTCTAGAAAGCGAACAGGAATTATGCTAAGAAAGTGATTAAAATGCCTGTGGTATTTGACTGAAACATCCCACTGTCAGACATATATTTCAAGGTCAATGATGAAAAGAAAAGGCCACATACATACCAAAATATTTGTAACAGAACTTTTCAGAGTACCAAATAATTAGAAACAACTGGGGAAAGGCTAAACAAACTGTGGCACATGAATGTAACAGAATATTAATATGCCGTAATAAATGAATATAAAAACATAGAGAAACAAGAGAACACTTAAATAAACTGATACAAAGTGAAGTATGTAGAACAAGGAAAACAATATACACAATAAACACAACAAGGCATATAGGAAGCACAAGGAAGCAATTGAAACTAACAATATGTAATTATAATGATGAAGCCTGGCCTCAAAATAAAAGAGGAAGAGATGCAACTTCTTGTCCTTTTCGGAGGGTGGGGAAAGGGGAGATTCTGGACAGGGAACATCGAACATGCTGTCAGCCTGTGCTAATGTGTTGGTGAGTTTTGCTGAACTATTTTTTCCCCCTCTTTTTTCCTCTTTGTTACAAAGGATGGCTATGGAAAACATAGCAGGAAGGGATATACTTAGAAATGAATGTGATATATGAATAAAAGATACCAATAAAATATTTTCTAAGTCTGGTAAGAGGCACAAGAAGATGTTACAGAAGTTCAGAGAGATAAAACGTCATTTCTGGTATGGGAGAAGGCAGGAAGGAGTCATGAAGGAAGCAGAATGTGAGGTGGGTTTTAAAGTTAAGATTTAAAAGGTGATGAACAAGATCTACAGGGAAGGAATGCCAAGGAATCGGCAGGAAAGTGTGGGGTCTATTTAGGGAGTGAAGTGTGGTGGCCATACAAAAACAGAGGCAAACTGATGAGTTTGTGGGGAGTCTTTTTAGTCAGCATGAAGAATCTGGGGCAACTGAAGTCACTGAAAGGTTTTTGAATAAGAAAAAAAAACTAGGTAAGAAATAAGAAGGTGTTACTAGTTATTTTTTCCAGTAATGGTAATGGATTTACATTGATCTGGCCACACATTCTTACCAGGTTTTTCTTTTGTTCAACAGTGTACATGTATAAAATTGTTAGATCACGACTGTACTCAGTAGCCATACCAGAATCAAATCTGGCTAACTGTACACATTAAATAGAAAATCTCTAAGTTACTGGACAAGGATTTCACATTTTGAAGACTAATAGTTGTTAATGTTTATACACATTCTAAAAATGGAGTAATTCATAGCCCCCCCTTATTGTTTGATTCTCTTAGAGAATTCCACATTGACTGTAATACATCTTTATAAGGGCTTCCATAAGGATGACAGGCATGGAAAGGACGGGACAGAAGTGAGAGATATTGAACAGGTAGACTTGTCAGAAAAGGTAGAACTGACTGGATGTGTTGAATTGAACGAACTGAATCTTATCAATCTTGACACTGGCTATAAATGAAACCAGAAAACAAAAAGAAGTTGCAGCTAAATGGAAAGATGCTTCACAGTTTCTGAATGTACATGCAAATAAATGAAGTGGTACACCAAGTAACATCGCCAAAAAAGCCAAATAATCTCAAACCCCCCCATTACATATTAGCAAATCGAAAACAAACAACTTATTACTGATGTGGGAGTCATTCCTGAATCATCTCTGTAGAGTCAGACTACTGTCTTGTTAGGACGAATATCAAAATTACTACAAAACCCTAAGACTAAAAATAAGGAGTTAAGGTTGCAATTAAAACTCCAAATTAATGTATTTAAATCAGTTAAATGTTGCTGACAAATGGGAAACAGATGGAGGAAAGGACATAGATACAATGACTATTTGAAGAAGTTTAACTCTGTAAAACAAATGCCATGAGACCAAAAGAGTCTAAAAACCATTTTAATCTGAGAGAACTAGTTTGGAACATTAACTTATTTGTAAAAAAAAATCTTGCAGTGAAGGGCAGTGGGAATTATGAAAAGGCGTACTAAGAGAGGAGTGACAACAGGTGGACAGTAGCCATCCTCCACAGAAATATCTAAATGATAATGGGAGGAACGTGCTTGTGATAATGTATAGGAGACCATGGATGACAGTCACACAGGGAGGGACAGGCATGAAGAAGTTACAATCTGTACGAGTAGAGTTAATATCGAAATTCATGAGATCATAAATTAAGAGTATAATGTAGAGGCCATGGAGATCCATGGATAGCATGCTTGGCTTGTAGTCTGGAAAATCTGGTCTCGAATCCCAACTCCAACACTTATTAGCTGCATGACTTCAGGCAAGTCATTTGACCTGCTGATGGAATCCTACCTGCTATCAGTATTTTCATTAGTATCATATAATTGATCACTCCTTTTAAAGAAGAAAAAGGAAAGATATTCAGAATAATTTTTAGTATGAGCCTTTCATTATAAATGAACTTTTTTAAAAAGACAATCATTTTCAAAGTAGTACTTTTCAAAACACCGTATGTAGCTTTGGAATAAAACTGTGATGACACCAAAGGAAATGAGTTCTATAGCTTGGAGTCTTTTGGAATTATTATTAAAAAATTACTCACAAAAGATAAATTTGACAATTTGAAAAAAGGACCAAATGAAACCTTTTTTGAAGCAAGAATGTTAAGTTCAACTAGAATTAATCTGCCCATTGTTTTGGAGCTATCTTTCATCAAGATATTAAAAAATTAGAACACACTTTGCAAATTCAATAACTGAGTCATAATACCATATACATTACAACGACCAGAAAAAGGAATCATTTAACATTAGACAGTGCTTGAAGAAATATTACTAGTAAACTTTAAAAAGTTTTGAGTCCCTTCACTTTTTAACAAAATGGTAAATATTTTAAGTTTCTCTATCACTTTAGTAGTAGCCAGAACGTCCTTTACAATTTTAAACCTTAGAATTTTATCTGAATCCATGTTTAATAAATGTTTATTCCTCTTTCACAACAGCCCTCTCTTCTGCAGGCTATAAATATCTCTAGTTTCCTCAACTACTAGATGCTTTATCATCCTGGTCACTGTCCTCGAAACTGCCTATGTACCTCTTAGTGAAATAGAGTGCTAAGAACTAAACATTTTCTAGCCATTGGACTGTACTTTCCATGACCTAGACAGTAGATTCTTGGACATTTCAACCACTCTTTTAGCTCTTTATCCTCTGTCCAGATAACTTTCAAACGTAGATCATCAGTCTTAACTCCTCCCCGAGGACTAGTTTAGAAATGTCAGGGGCACATTTCTACCTCTCTGTCCTGATGACAACTCAAACCCAATAGGTCCTAAAATGAACTTGTTTCCTCCCTAAATCCTGTCACCAACTTCCCAATTTCTTTTGATGCCATTACCATTCCATCTACCTCCACAAACTCTCACAAACCTTCCCCTTCCCCCCACTCACATGGCCTTTACCCTAGTGAGTTCCTTATTATATCTTGTCTGAACTATCATAACAGAGTTCTAACGGACACCCCTGCCTCCAGACTCTCATCTTGAACTCATCTTCCACAAAGAACACACATGAATATTCTCAAAACACACAAACTATATCACCGCTCTGTACAAAAATGTTCCGTGGATCCTTACTGCCTTTAGGATAAAACACAAACTCTTCAGTGTGACATTCTAGGAGTTCTCCACAATCTGGCACCCACCTCTTTCCAGACTGACTTTAGGTTACCCTCCCTTCCCCACACACTGCATTGCCATCAAACTAGGATACTAACCATCCCTCAGACTCAGTATTGTTTCCTACTTCTCTCTCCTCAACTCGAGCTCAGGTGCCACCTTCTATGCTGACTTTCCTGCTCCTTCTAGTTGTCAGTGATCTTTCCCTCCTGAAACTACTTTGTATACACGTTGTATCCTTCAAGTAGGACATGAGCTCCTTGAGGGCAACTGTTTGTTGTTGTTGTTGTTTTTTCTTTTCGGGCCTTTGCAACTTCAGAGCCTAGCCTCCCAAGGTACTTCAGAAACGTTTGCTGAACTGAATTCCCTCAGGTTCTATCCCTCTTCTATGTCTAATTAATTCTGCTTATTCTGATGATTCTAGTTGGTGCAGTCTCTTTCACACCTTTTCCGAACATCATCTATTCCCTTATATAGGTTCTAATAAAGACGGATTAATATCAAAGCAGAATTCTATAAGAGACTCAAGCAGGTAAAGGAATCTCATCAGAAGTATCCAGACTCAGAATGGCATTCACCTGCAAAGAGAACAAACACCTACAGGAAACCCCAAACAGAATAGCAAGAGAGAAGAGAGGCTTGATACCATTTTGGTTTATTTTGTTCATCAATGACTTATCTCTCTTCCTTGGAGATGCTTTTATGAATGGTAATAGACATTACTGATAGCACAGTTGTCAATGTTAATGACAAGCTTTGGCAAATTCTCTTATTTTTCCTGCTCATTATATAGAGACCCAGGTGGGAGCTGCAACACGAGCTTTCTTGCCCATCACTCGTCCTTGGTTTGTGAACAGACCTGACATCTATGCCTGATCCAATTTTGTCAGTATACCAATAAGGGTGCTCCAGGCTGACACTCCACCTGTCTAGACCAGTTGATACCATCTACCCTGTCTGCCTACCTGCTGGGGCACCAATACAATCTGATAAAGCAGGCCACATAATGCAGTTTCTTGGTTTTGCTACCCACCTTTAGCTAAAATGAAAGAGAACATAGAATTTTTTTTGGGGGGGGTGTGAGATAGTTTGGAAACATATAGCAATATCCTTTTCATAATGAAGTTGAATTTCTTCCCCTGCAAGTCTAAAAGGCTCTCAGAACTGCTATTAAGAACAGGCAGAAAGCCACTTTTTATTCAAAATAATCTACTAACAGGTTCTGCTTTATTTAAGGATACACTACATAACTGGCTGCTAGAGTTAAGTATGCTTTTCTAGAAGAAAAAAAAATGAACTGGTAGTCCTAAGCCAAAATTTACTTGCTTCATTTTTTTTTACAATGTTATATGACTCACAACTTTCTGAAGTACCTATGTGGGGGTTGTATTTTAACACAGCATATTCACTCTTTTGACATTTGTTTCAACTAAAGGAATTCAACTGCTATATTCATCTCTAATTGCAGCTTTTTCTAAGAAAAGTCTCAAGCGGTAGCAAGGTCACAGAAAATCTGTTTTCAGTACTAAAGTTTTCTTAATTCAATGTGAAATTAATTGTTTTAGGGTTTTTAGAGTTGAAGATGACACCAAGGCTGCAAATCTGTGTAACTGTGGTACCCCTGACAGAAACAGGGAAGTTAGCAAGAGGGGGTGGAAAAGGTGATGAGTTCTGTTTTAGACATTTTAAATTTTAGATGCCTACAGAATATTAAGTTCAAAATGTCTAACAGTCAGCTGGTTAAGTAGGAATAGAGCTCAAAAGAGGGAGGAGGGCTGGATACATAAATCTGGGACATTAACTACATCCACAAAGGATTCGACTGAATCCAAACTTCACCAAACAAATCCTTGTAAGGGTCAAAGTCAAATGCTGGGCTTTTATTCACCTTTGTACTCTCACTGCACCTGGCAGACACTAATGCACAAATATAAGGTCATTTATACATAGGCTTCTAAAATATCCTGTGGATTTATTTTCCTGTTACAATATGACATAAAAGTCCAAAGGGAGAAGGAAAGGGCTGTACGGAAAGGGAGATGAAGGAGACTGTACTAGATGAAATCTAAGGTCCTCTGCAGCTACCAATCTATGATACTAAGACACCTAAAAATACTAATACAGGCTTTTTTTAGAGTAGTTCTATAGGCTACAAATTCCAATTGTTTCCTCCAAAAGGGACAGGTAAAATTCATGGTTATTTTTACAGTGAGTCAAAAGCACTGAATCATACTGTCGCCTTTAGACAAAGTAGCTTAGTCTTGAAAGGAGACGCCAGAATTAACCTTTGTTCATTTTGTCCCAGGATTACTGGCATATCTCTTCAAAGGAAGCAAACTGTAAGGGAAAGAACATTAAACAAGGTTCTAGTCCTGAATCGGCCTCTTAACCAGTTATGACCTTGAGCAAGTCACCGCCACAGTGGGCCTCAATTTCCTAATCTGTTAAATCAAAAAACATTTCAACAAATGTTTATTGAGTGCCTACTATGTACCAGGTATTGTGCTAAGCTGTACTGCTGGAATACTTCCATCAAGCTCCAGAATTCTGTGAATTCAATGCACAAATACTATATGAGGACCAGCAAGTTAGAACGCTGGCTGCTAAGCTTGTTTTTTCATTTCTAAGCAATAAGATGCAAAATGATGGATAATTATTACTCATGCTTAGACATCTAAGAGGACAAGCACTTACATGAATAACAAAGAGAAAAATGTAAACATGAACTAGATTATAATACATTTCATTATAACTAAGCATTAACATTTATGCTACTTTATAGCATCGATGAAGGAGAGGTCATTATATTGATATTTTTGAGGCAATATTTCTGTCCTCCATTGTATGAATTCAACTGCTCTTCTTCCCCAGGCTAGAAAGACCAAAGGTTTCATTTAAATGGGTAGGAGTTTTCTCTTTAGGGGAATTCCTAGTTCTGTCAGCTGGTTTTTGCCTCTGGGCATAAAGGCCTTTCCACATTTGGAATATACCATGGACATTAACTACAGCCACAAAGGAGGGATGACTTTTTCATTTTCCACTTTGGGTATTCTAATACCCATTCTTAGCTCTAGTTTAGAAACAGCTACCAAGTATCATTAATTCAAGAAGGTTTTAGCTCCCATAGCATTGAGAGTATCCCTGATCTGTCAGCTGAACTGAGTGTGCAAAGGAAAAACCATCAGGAGAATCAGAAAGCACAGGCCAAGCTGTTCAAGGATCCTAATAACAAATGATGTCTCGGGAGTCTATTTCTAACAATTAAGCATCATCGTGTCTCTACTGTATAAAGGGAATAGGGTGATCTGGTGCTTCAGAGAGAGTGGACACAAAAGTAAAAAAGGTACCTTGGGAACTAACTTGGCAAAGAACAGTGTAACTAAGCCAGTATAAAGGCCATGAAGACAGTGCGATTTGGAGACAGAGTTTGGGTTTGAACTCCAGCTCTGCCACCTGTGTGACCTTGGTTAAGTCACTTCATCTCTGTGGGTCTCAGTTCCTTCATCTGGAAAATGGGGGCCCTGGGCTGGATGAAGTCTGGAGATCCCTGGCAGCCCTAGATTTACGATCTTTTGATCAGGTGGCAGCTAAGAGGCACAGTGGATAGAGCAAAGGCTGGATCTGGAGTCAGGCCGACCTGGGTTCAAATCAGACCTCAGACACTTAACTTTGTGACGCTCCACCAGCCACAACCTCCATCTGCCTCGGTTTTCTCATCTTGAAAATGAGAATAACAGCTCCCACCTCTCAGAATGCCACCTTATGAGGATCAAATATGATATCACAGATAAAGCTCTTTGCAAACCTTAAAGCTCTATACGAATGCTAGCTATTATCTATTTTATTAGATTCCTTCCAAGGTCCCTGAGCCCGACCAAAATTTATAATGCTATAAGGGTGCACAGCGGTGGAAGGAAGTATTTATCAAGACTATTTTGTGTCGAGCACTGTGCTAAGTATATTACAAATATTATCTCATTTGATCCTCATAAGTAAAACTGGGAGGTAGGTGCTATTATTATTATTCTCATTTTACAGCGAAGGAAACTGAGGCAGACATTCAATGAGCTGACCAGCAAGGAAGTGTCGGAATCTCAATTTGAACTCAGGTCTTCCAGACCCCGGGCCACCTCCTGGGTGGGGGTTGGGGTCCTTCTCTGGGGCTTCCCCAGCCCAGCTCCCCCGACAGTTTCTCCTTCGGGCCCTGGGGTACAAAGCTGCCCCGCCCAGCCCCGGCCCCCGCCACTCACATCCTTCTTTACTTCGGCCATGTCCTCCTCGGTCAGCGCTGGCGCGGCGGGCTCCATGGCGGAGGCTCCAGAACTCAGGCCGCGCTGCCCCCAGGAGTGAAGGACTCGAGACACCTCCCCCGCCCCCCCCGCCGGCGACCCAAAGGGTGAGCGGAGCCCAGAGAACCGAGAGGTTCGGGACCCAAGAGCGAAGCTGGAGCTTCCGGTTCCGGTCCTCAACCCTAACCCGGCTGCTAGGAGGGAGGAGGCTGGAGGGCCGACCGGACGAGCCCAAGGCGAGACTCCCACCCCCAGACGAGCTTCGGAACGAGATTGGACGCCAGGCCGTCAATCCACCTCGGACACGGTCCCGCCCCTTCGTTAGGGGAACCATTAAGCCTATCCCTTACACCCGCCCCTCACGGGACAAACCACGCCCCTCGCTTCCGGCTGAGACCAAACCACGCCCCTTCTTAATGACTCTTCATTCTCCATCCTCACCTTCTGTTTGATATGAACCACGCCCCTTACGGAAAATCCTTTCCGCGTTCCCTTCTCCGGAGGTGCTCAAGTCACGCCCTTTTTTGGTACTCCGCATGCGCACTTTCAGTAAGACTCAGGCCACGCCCCCAACTAAAGCCCGCCTTACGCTCGCGGTCCCACAGGACTTAAGCCCCGCCCCCTGGCCTCTGTTGCTCCCCATCCCTAACGCCTCCGGATGCAGGCCACACCCCTCTCCTGTTACGGTCTATTGCCGGCCGGATTGGAAACCCAACCTCGTGCGGAGGGCCCTCCTAGAGCTTCCCCACGCCGCTAGACGCAAGCCACGCCCCTTCCCGAAGACTTTTCCAAGTATTCCCCAACTTCACTTCCAGGCGACTGAAACACACGGGGGTGGGGGTGGGGGTAGGGACCTCAAACCACGCCTCCTAAGAGCGCACTCAAGCTCCCCCCTCCCTCCTGCGGGATGCAGGCCACGCCCCTTCCAGAAGTCACGCCCTAGTTTCCCTCCCCGCGGAATTCAGATCGCGCCCTCTACAGGAGGTGTGCGGGACCGTGCTCTCCCGCTCCTAGAGGGCTACCGGGATTGTCCCACCAGATGCTTTAGCTTGTGAAAGGAGGCTAGAGCGCAATTAGGGTCAGGAGACCTGAGCTGTTGTCTCATCCTCCTTTTCTGTTCTCCGAAGCAGGTGCGCAGGTGCAGGAAACCTCAAGGATTGATTGATTGACTTCCATCGATTGTACTCAAGTCAGCAAGCACTTAGCGCTTATTCCGTTCCACGAACCAAACCCCTCTTTTTACAATTTGGCAACAACAAGAAAAGGGACTGCGATTATTTTTTCATTCGCTCATTCTTTTTATGAAAGCTGTATTTAATATTTCATGGGAGTCCCCAGTCTGCTGTTATCCTGAAAGAAAAGCTTTTAAAATCTCTGGGTCCTCAATTATAGCAACATCTGGTGCAGACCTCTCTATGTTCCGTATCTCTTCTGCTCTTGTGTTTTCCTGCCTTGCTTTTGTCTCTTTCTAAAAAGTTTTGTGGTGGTGTTTTCTTTCTTTTTTTTTTTATGTATCATCACTGACTTCTCATATAGCTCTGTCTTGTTACAAATCATTATTTCTTCCGCACAGGTTCAAGCTGTGAGCACGCATCTAGTGGTTATGCGAGGTAACCCGAAGCGCAGCGGCAATAGCAACCTGTCTACACCCACTCCTATCTTCCTTCCATAAGCCTACAGAAAGACGGGATTATTTTTCCATTAACAAGCAAGAGAATCTAATTTCTGATTTTTCTTTCCACTAGATGGCGGCCCACTCAAGCCTTTAAACCCCAACACACTTGGTAAACTTCTGGCTCAGTTTTAAACTGTAGTTATAATCAAATTTTCTTTGGCTACATCGTTTGTTGAAAGCAAAACTCAAAGAAAACTATTGGAATGCTTCACACCACCATCCCGCAAAACTCCTACATTGTCAGGTCGTTGAAAAGCATTAAAGGTGGGTGCTGCTGCTGCTGTCCATGGTCTATGGAAAGTGAGAGCATTAAAATAGGAAATGTTAACCAGGGGTTTGAACAGGTCTTCTCACCCGCCAGTAAGGTGTCACAGCAATTGCCAGGCAGTACTGCTCCATCCTTGTCGTCTGTGCAGTCTCTATATGAAATAGGTTGTGTCTTATCTCCACCTTCGGGGAATTCACCTCTCTAGCACTTAGTTCAGAGTTTATGTCAACTCTTTTGCCTAGGCTCCCAGTGGAGACCACAGCAAAATGGCAAAAAGTAGCAGCATTTCTCTTTCCTCTCCAGAGCTTGGTTGCTCCTGTCTCATTGAGCAGCAGCAAATTGGAAGGGCACCATTTGGTCTGACAACCTCATTTTACAGAAAGGGAAACTGAGGCCCAGAGGAGCAAAATACCTTGGAGCTGCCTCTCAATAAGCTCTAATCTAATAAGGAAGATATGACAGACTCAAAGCAAATGAGAGCTAGTCTGAGAGAAGTACACATATGAAAGTACTGAAGAGGGATGGAAGAAGGTAATAGGATAATGGAAATGGCATTTGAATTGGTTTTTAAGAAATGGTTAAGATTTACATAAGAAATTTTTTTTTTGCCAGCTCTGTCTTAGTCACTGCAGGCAATAACTTCTGTTTTAGTGGACTGTGAATTGTCAGTTTTCCTGGTAACAAGGAGGAATGGCAATTGAAAAAATATACCAATTGACAATCTTTTGGCTAATTGCTTTCTAACTGGGGCAGGTGCTGACAGGACTGTGACATCATTAAGATAGAAGGTAATAACATAGGTCAATATAAATACCAGGACTTTTAGCCCTTGTTGAAGTGAATCCTACTTTTATTTATATGCAAGAAAAGCTAGATGTGAATTTCAGTAGTTGTAATACTATACTGTGTATGTATGTAGATATATATATGTATTTATACATAAAACTGCTTATACATACCGGCATGACTGTGCTACAAATGGAAAAAACATAAAACAGAAATGAATTCTGTAAAATGTACACATACATGTAAATACATAAATATATTCACATATTTATATACATATGAATATATGTAATATGTGATATGTGGAGATAAATATATGCACACATATGCATGTATAATATGTCTTTATTCTCTCCAAATATGCAGAATTCCAAAGTTCTCAGTAACTCTAAGACCATGGGGCCATAGATCTAGAGCTGAAAAGGATTTGAATTCATCTAGTTTAAACCCCTCATTTTACAGATGAAGAAACTGAGGCCCAGGAAAGTTAATCAACTCACCTAAGTCACAGAGGTAATACCTCTCAGAGGTAGGATTTGAACCTAGGTCCTGCCCCTAAAGGGCAACTAGGTGGCACAATGGATAGAGCATTAAGAAGACTCATCTTTCTGAGTTCAAATCTGGCCTGAGACCTTTACTAGCAAATCACTTAACTCTACCTCAATTTTCTTATCTGTAAAATGAGCTAGAGAAGGAAATGGCAAACCACTCCAGTATCTCTGCCAAGAAAACTCCAAGTGGGGTCACAAAGTGTAGGACATAGCTGAAAATGACTGAAGAATACCAACAACAAAACCCCTCTGTCTCCAACGCCAGCACTCCCTGGGGTGATTAAATGGCTTGCTTTTAGTCACACAATTATTCTGTGTCAAAGGCTCAGGGCTTCCTGATTCCAAGGCTAGTTTCATATTCCCTACTCAATACCATCTCTTACTAAATATATACCTGCATTTTATTTGTATATTACCTTGGTTCTCACATATGAGTCCACAGAAAGCTATTGTAGGTTCAAAGCACTTTGTCGTTTTGCATCTATTCAAACTCATGGCTTGTGAGCACCCAACGATGTGTAACATGATTTCAGAACAAAGGTCATTTCATCAGGCTAAGTAACAATAGAGATCCTCTCCCCCAAACACACAGGACTATACTCTTCCACAAGTTAGCACACCACCAGTGTTGGAGGGGACCCATGCAGGGACATGCATAACCAGAGCGACCCAGACCTCTCATGCTGCAGAGCTCTGGTAACATCATCGAGATGATTTCTGGGCTGCTCTCTGATGCATGTTAACATTGAGCTGCTCTTGCTCTCAGCTGCCAGGTGTGGCCTATTTGTTGAACAGAAAGAGCATTTGGCAAGATTTCAACTTTGAAAAGCTCAGTCTTAGGCTACGGACAGATCTCCGCCCTGTTGGACCCAGCTAGTTAGATAGAAAGAAATCCTCATGCACTTTGTCTTTTGAACTCTGTTTCTTTTGCTGCTCACGTCTTTCAGTCTAAACTTTTATTTAACTAAAAGTGAAATTCCTTTCAATTTCTTCCCATTTCCATAATCCCTGTGTAAATACAGGGGGCCAAAGGGGAAGAGACTGAAAAAAGGGTTGGTGGCTTTTGTCTTATTTCTCTCAGCCCTAGGAGCTAAATTGTTGCTTCTCCTATATTTTCAGAGTAATAGGTTTAAAGGGGAAAAGTCCTTCTGAAATACAGGCCGCTGTGTTGATGCCCTCCTTGACTTATTTTCAGTCTCTCCTTCCTTGTCTACTGCCTTATTTCCTAGGGCTTACTGTAGACATATTCATGTCTCTTCCATCCTGGAAAAAAACAAACCAAACCAAACTCTGACTTTATCCTTCTCTCCCCATTAGCTATCACCCTATATTCTGCCCTTCATAGCTAATCTCCTCAAAAAGACCATCTATGACAGGTGCTTCCACTTTTTCTCCTCTTATTCTCTTCTTAACCTCTTATAATCTGGCTATGATCTACAATTGCAGAATATAGGAAGGGAGCAAAGTGTGAGATGACTGGAAAGGTAGGAAGGAGCCACGTTATAAAGGGCTTTAAATGCTAAGAGAATTTTGTATTTCTATTTGATCCTGGAGCCACTGGAGATTATTGAGTGGGAAGGGTGTGGGACCAAAGGCGACATGGTCACCAAAATCACTTTGGTGATTGAATCAAAGATGGATTTGAAACAAGGAGACCAACCGAAAGGCTAGTGTCAAAATTCAGTTTTGAGGTAATGAAGGCCTGTTCCTGACTAGTGGCAGAATCAGAGGAGAGAGAGGGGAGTATACAAGAGATGTAAAGTAAGATGAATAGGATTTAACGCCAAATTGGATATGGGGGTGGGCTAAGATGGAATGAGGAATTGAAGATGACACCAAGGTTTTAAGCCTGAGTGACTGGTAGAATGGTGGTGACCTTGATAGTGACAAGAAAGGTAGGAAGAGAGGAGGGTTTGGGGGTGGGCTAAGATAATGAGTTCAGTTTTAGACATGTTGAGTCTAAGATGTCTATGGAACATCCAGTTGGAGATGTCCATTAGGGAGTTGGTGATGTGAGACTGGAGCTCAGGAGACAGGTTAGGACTGGATATGTAATCTGGGAATCACCTACATAGAGTTGATAGTTGAACCCATGGCAACTGATGAAATAACCAACTGAGATAGTATTAGAGGGAGAAGAGAAGAGAACCCTGGACAGAGCCTTGGGAGACAACCACAATTAGTGGGTATAATCTGGATGAAGATTCACCAAAACAAACTGAGGAGTAGTCAGATAGGCAGGATAGATCAATGTCATGAACATCTAAAGGAAAGAGAATAACCAGTAGAAGAGAGTCATTGATAGTGTCAAAGGTTGAATAGGATTCAAAACGAATGAGGGACAAAAAAAGCCATTAAATTTGGCAAATAAGACTTGACCATTGGTTACTTTGGAGAGTAGTTTCAGTTGTCAGAAACCCGATTGAGAAACCTCATCACCTGTCATTTGGACTATCAGTTAACTAATTAGTATCCCTGGTCCAGTTTCTTCCTTCTCCACTCCTTTTCCCATACAATTGACTAGATAATCTTCCAAAAAAAACATTGTGAAGGATTGCAGAGGGAGAAGAGAGGAAGAGAGGAAGTCCTGAATATAGATGTTTTTTTTCAAGGTATGTTGCCATAAAAGGGAGGAGTTATCTATATCTCTCCTCTCTTTCACAGCTAAATACCTTGAAAAAGCCATAATAGCTAGTGGGAACAAGCAGATCAAACAGGTTTTAAAACAGAACCCTGCCTTGTAACAAAATAGGTAGACTTGAAGCAGATCAATTTATTGGCCAAATCTCCCTACTTCATATCTTACTGTCCACGGTTTCTCTGCTGAGGAATTTGAAGCATCCTTTATATCCCATCCTACAAACCTTTAATTGCCAATGATCTTTTAAACTACTAAATCCTAAAGCCCTTTCTCAGTCCTCATCCTCTTTGACCTTTGATGTCTCCCTCCTCCTGGATATTCTCTTTACTTTTGGCTTTTTTGATAATTCTCTCTCTGGAGTCTCCTGTCTGCCCTCTCATTTCCTGACTATCGTTTATCTCCTATTCTATCAGTTTTCTCCTGGGTCCTCTTCTCTCCTTTCTTTACACTTTCTCCCCTGGTTAACACATGGTCTCTGTTATCATCTTTATCTAGATGGTTCCCAAGTTATATATCCAGGCCTTATCTCTCCTGAACTTCAGACACACACCTGTAACTGCCTTAATATCTCACTACCTTCCCAATCTCAATGTGTATAAAATAAATCATAATCTTTCCATTATTCTCACCTTCTCCAAACTTTTCTACTTTTGTTCCTGCCTTCAGAATGTCAACTATATCATCCCCCTTTCTTTATGCACATAGTTGCCATCCTGATTCAGACCCTCATCAGCTGTCATCTGAACTATTATAATAGTCTGTTTAATACACCTCTTCCTCCAGTTTCTCCCTTCTCCAATTCCTTTTCCATACAGTTGACAAAATAATCTTCATAAAACCACGTTGCTTAAGAATCTTATGGGAGCTTGGAACATGTGGTTCTATCAGGAGGTAAATAAGTAGTAACTTATTTATGTTAAGTTAACTTCATCCTTTTGTTTTATTATGCTTTTGTTAATTTGGTTCAATATTTATTTTAAACGTGCATTTAAGGCTAGAATAATTGAGAATTGCCTGTTGCTCAAAGGAAGGGGTGTGATCATAGTTGGAGGTATGAGACAAATGAATGATGAACATATATACCTCTAGATGGCATCAGAGTATTGGACAAAGTCAACGATGAAGTCAAGGAGTGAAAAATATCCAGCATGCACCTAGGCCTTGCTGATGGCTTAAAGAACCAGGCAGCTAGTTCTATACCCTTACACCACCGCCTCGTGGTTCAGTTTATGTCTCTATTTTTCCAAAATAGAAAGGTAGCATGTTACAGAGCATAGAGAACTGATCTTAGAGCCAGGAAGATCTGTGTTTGGGTCCTGCCTCTGACACATGCTGGCTGTCACTTAAACTGTCAGTGCTCTGGGTAACTGTGAGACTGTAAGTTGCAGAGGAAAAATGCCAGCCTTTTTTGTTATAGAGAGTTCCTTCAGCATAGAGTTCCCTATACTAGTGAAATCACTGGTCCAGTCCCTATCCCTTTATAATTTTCCAATGACAGGTCAATCCTCTTGTGTTTAATATGATACGTATTCATTTAAAAGCATTATAGAATGCATAGTTGTTTTTAATTGATATGGATTTTCTCAAACAATGAATATTAATAATACAGGTACTCATGTTTGAGACTGCACAAGTTTCTGACATGGTTCCATTTCCGTTCAACTCATCAAAGACTTTAAAGCTTTTGCTATGTCCTAGAGAAGGTGTAGAGCACTGGGGACACAAAGACAGAACTGAAAAACAGCCTCTGCCCCCAAAAGGGCCTTCATTCTACCAGAAGGAGAACGTGCCTGTGTTCACAGCGAAGTCAACGAAAGGTAAGTAAATATCGGTGTAATGCATGTGCTCTGGCCTTGCTCTGTCAGGGCCAGGAAGAGTTTGTCCGAAGGGTTCTAGAGTACATTGAGTGGTTTGTGGGGAGCTTTTTTTGTCTCAGTTTGGATTGACCCCCCCCCACAGGCTCTATTCATCCCATTTGTTAGGGGTCAATCACTAAAGCCCTTTAGTGTCCATTTAGACACTTAACATTGAGTAGCTTTTACAAAGGAATATTTACTTCAAGGCTATAGCAAGAACAAATGTACAACATTCTCCCCAACATCTCCAGGGCACAATCTCCCTGATACCATCTTAGTTTCTGGGTGGGGGTGGGATTAGGGTTAGGCTTATACAATCCTTGCATAGCATTGATCCCACCAAGTTCACGTCCAAGATTGGTATCATTGCCAGCTTCTTTTGGGCTGGAGTCCCAAGGGTCATTCCAGATGATTGCTTCATACTCCTCAAAGCATCAAGGCTGGGATGACTATAACACACAGCCTGCATTCCTGGACTTCTGGATTCCTGTGGCTTCTGCTGTAGCCTTTGAAACTTATAAGAGTCAGAGACTCCACATCCCCCACCTAGCATGGAAAAGAACAAATTAAAAGGCCAAGGTAGCCTGTTTCTCAGGAAGTATATGATGTTGTGGGTTGGTAGAAAACCTATGGTCCTTGATCTTATCACATGGTATCATTGGATACTGTAAAAGAAGTCAATTCCTTTCCCAGAACTGAAGGCAGCAAAAAGAAGTGGGCCAGAACTGAGTCATGTCTTTTTTTTTTTTGAGGCAATCAGGGTTAAGTGACTGCCCAGGGTCACACAGTTAGCATGTGTCTGAGGCAGGATTTGAACTCAAGTCCTCCTGACTCCAGGACTGATCTCTATCAGGTCCTTTTGAAGACAGTTCCAGTTATGCATCCAATGTAAAAAGGCTCCTCCAAACATGTGGTAGCCAATTGGAACCAGTTACAGAATATCCACACGGGATCTAGTTATCACAAAATTCTCTTGGAAGCGGCTCCTCAGCATCTACAGGTGGAGTCTGTACATGTGCTAGGCCTCCCCGCCCCATACAGAGGTAAAAGAGAGAGACAGGGAAAGAAGAGAGAGAGAGAGAGAGAGAGAGAGAGAGAGAGAGAGAGAGAGAGAGAGAGAGAGAGAGAGAGAAGAGAGAGAGAGAAAGAGAGAGAAGAGCTTGGAATGGTGGAAATACATTCCAGGAATGAAAAAGTTGAAGGAACCAGAGGAGGTTTAGCTTGTGGAGGGGAAGACTCAGGGGACATAAGCACTGCCTCCAAAGAGCTGAAAGATATTTTGTGATAGATGGATTAGACTGGCCGTTCTTGGGCTCAAAGTGTAGGACCAGGATCAACACGATACTATTTATGAGGAGGTCATTTTGGATATAGGAATTATTCCTAAGGATTACAGCTGGGGTGGGGAACCTTTGGCCTCCAGGCCACATGTGGCCTTCTAGGTCCTCAAGTGTGTCCCTCTGACTGAATCCAAAGTTCAGAATTCAAATTCAAGTTTGGATTTGGACAAAGGGTGGCACTTGAGGACCTGGAGGGCCACATGTTCCCCACCCCTGGATTAGAGCATCCTACAAAAAATAGGGTGTACTATGTTATGTGTTTCCTATCTGAAGGTCCAACAAGAGAGGCTGATGAACAATTCTGAGGACTATTGTAGAGGACATTCATACTTCTGGTAGGGGATAACCAGGTGGCACAGTGCATCTGGAGTCAGGAAGACTTGAGTTCAGATATGTCCTCAGTTACCAGCAAGTCATTTAACCTGTCTACCTCAGTTTCCCCAGCTATAAAATGTAGATAAGAGCACCCACCTTATGGTGAGGATCGAATGAGATACTTATAAAGCCCTTAGCACAAAGCCTGGCACAGAGTAGGTGTTTAATAAATGCTTTTTTCCCCTTATGTCCTAGACGGCATTAGAATTCCCTTTTAATGGTGAAATTTTATGATTTTGCATATGTAAGGATGGGAGTCCATTGATTGCCCCACCTAGGGGCATGGCAAGGCCATATAGATACTTGGGAGTTAATTGCTAAATTATTGGTGTGAGTATTTACATGGCAATTGATGGGGGGGGCCCAAGCCAAGATCTTTGACCTTTGCCTCATAGGGAATCTGACTCACAGGCCCCAGACCCTCATCTCCCTTTTAATCTTGTTCAGATGTGCCCTAAAAGAATCTGGCTCCCTTTTGTCTATAGGCCCCAGGAAGGCCTTCTCTGGTCTCAAACTGTTCCTTATCAACTCCCCTTATCTCCTTTTGAAAGTCCTAGCCTCATCTTGATTTTGTGCAGATGCCTTTCAAGCTTCTGCCTTCCTGTTCCCTCCTTTAGCTATTCCCATTGTCTGTTCAATCTCTCAGACCTCCCCAATTAGAATTGTTACCTAGACCCTTTTCCCAACCCCCTTCTCTGGCCACCCAAAGTTACTTTAGTATTTAAGATCCACCTTGGCCCTCATTCAGATGCTGAGAATCTCAGGCCCACAAGGCTGAGAACCTCTCATGCCCATTCATCTTTACATCTTTATGGGTGTCACCTGGTCAATGTGATTTATCACTAATAAACTTTTCCTCTGGCTGAAGAAGACTTGAGTTGAATTCATTCAGCAGGGCCCGGTACCTCAATCTTGGGGTCCCAGCACCCCAAAAGTCCTAGACCTCTTCAGCAATCACTACAAATAAGGACTTGATTTATTGTCTTGTTGATTTCTAGGCTTAACAAAGTGATGGAGAAAATAGTAATAATGCCTCTTAAACTTACAAGTGTGTTTTATATATACTTTTTTTTAAAATTCAGAGAGCTGGTGGTTAAACATTTACAAGCATACCCTCCATTCCAACCCACCTGCATCAACATCTTTATTGAATTATTCGGTCATTCAATCAGAATAATCCGTGAACAAGGCCTGGGCATCTCCTTGAAGCAATCAAAAACAAGTCAACTAGATGCTAAAGGAAGTCTGTTCTCATTGCATAAAGGCCTTGGTAATGCACTGTAGCTGTATAAAATCAGTGAGCTCATGCAGAATCCAGGAAACTTGAGTGCCTGACAGTGCTGAGGAGAGAATGTTCAGGCTAAACTCTGAGAAGGAATTGATTTGAGAGGGAAAGAGTAGCAGAGCCTCAGGCCTCAGCCTGAATTTCAATCTCCTTCCTGTCCCTTTGACCCAGGACTGGTTTTGTGAATTTTGGAAATTTTGGAGATTTGAAGCTTCCTATATTCCCATGAGTTTCCCTATTTCCTCTGGAACAGCTAATGGCATGATCTATATCAGAAGCCAAGGACAGAATGGACATAGATTCAAGGCTCTCCAAAGAGCCTCAGAAATCTACCTCAAAACTGAGAAGACCATAATGAGAACTTGTACTGAAGGACTTTTGAGAGCTTTGAGTTACCCCCTTTGCCACTTGTACTATCTAATCCTGAGCCCTCTTTCCCCTGGACAGTATATGTACTTGTGGGAGAATATATTAAACTTGTGGAAATGTTTTATAACAAATGTTCTTATGCCACTTTAGTAAATTTTTTGTTGTTTGGTTATTTCAGTTGTACCTGACTCTTCGTGGCCCCATTTAGGGTTTTCTTGGCAAAGTTACTCAAGTGGTTTGCCATTTTCTTCTCTAGCTCATTTTACAGATGAGGAACTGAGGCAAACAGGGTTAAGTGACTTGCCCAGGGTCATACCACTAGTGAGGGTCTGAGATTTGAACTCAGGAACAGGAATCTTTGTGATTCCAGACCCAGCACTCTACTGCACCACCTGGCTGTCCCTGTAAGAGCTAGTGAATGTTAAGTGGTCAAATATAATAGGGTTGCCAGTCATGGGAGAGGAAGGGAACAGCCAGTTGGGGCCTGAATTGATGGTAGTAGAGGAGATGCTCTGACCCTTTAGGCCACCCTAGAACCCGAGGTGTGAGATGTAACCAGCTTGGCTCTGGAAGAGAGAGCCATAGAATGCACTATACGTGAGGAAGACATGCTGTTTAGTATGCCTGGATCATAGAGTACAAGGATGGGACTAAAGTCTAAGAATCTTGGAATGGTAGGGAGGGGCCAGGTTGTGAAGAGCTTTCAATCCCAAACAAGGGACTTTAGACTTGATCCGGGAGGCAATAAGGAGCCACTGGAGTTTATTGGGCAAGGAGACCACAGGTTAAGCTCTATGCTTGGATCTAAGTTATTATTACTAGACCATTGTGGTTCCTAGGAGCAAATGGGAGATGTCTTCCCATTTCTTCAGTCTTTTGTGTGGGAGTAAGTCACTAAATTACTTGGCAAATTTATAAATGCATCTCATTAGGGCAATTCTTATTCTTGGGATAATCTGTATAGTGTAACATTGATTACCATATTAACCCTTGCCTGAAGGCAAGGTCTGGTACATTTCCATTACTCCTCCAGGGTTTTCTGGTACTGTTAGGGGGATGGGGGAGTCTCTGTTTCTTCATTGGCCCAAGCCCTCACTAACTGTGTTTCCTCCAGTTTTAGTTCCATTTAAAGACTGACTAATTAGATTACCTTCTATAGAGGAATATTTACTTCAAAAGTATAGCCAGAATAAATATATAACTATTTCCCCCTCAAACCTCTAGGGTGTTATCTCTCCTTCTCTAGGGGGTTGGGGGGAGTGGGGTGGTGGTTGCTGGGAGGAAGATTCAGTTCAAAGTCCAAAGGCCACCTTGGGCTTGTATCCTGGGACCTTGGGTCCTTAGGGCTTCCCTGTGGGGATATGAAATTCTGGATTCTAAGGTTCCCTGGTTGGAGCCTCCACTCCCCACACCTTTTGTGTTCCCCAGAAAAGGACAAATAGCACAGAACCAAACCAGCCCATTTCTCAGGGCCTCGGGGCCTAAAGGGAGGAAAAAATGGCCCTCAGGTCCTGTTTCTCAGCTCACTTTATGGTGCCGCTGCTGTGAGTGAACCTGGAGCATCTTTGGTTGGTGCAGTTCAGTGGAGAACC